GTGGCCTTTGTAACAGTGTACTGTGAATAGTAAATTTAGCTCTGATTGTAAAAAGAGACAAATTATTTAAACCTTATATAAATGTAATGAAAGCTTTAAAACATTGGGTTTTTAAGACATGATTGTTTTCAAATACTGCCTTCTATTTGTCAAGCTAACCTACTTTATCATAACAGCCAAACCGTCAAGTGTTGGGAGGTGTGATAAGCCATGTGTTATCAAAATAAATCATATGAAATGTAGGTTATCATGTCACCATTAAGATTTTAGTGATAACATGAATTCAAATGTTGGCTAATATAATTTAGAAAGTAATTCTGAAGTCGCATAATATCAATTTCTAAAGTTAAACTGATTATTCTTTTTCAGATTTAAATGTTTCCTGCTTTTAAACTGGATTTTGGAAAAGTGGTCAAACCTTCCTCTATTCTCCAATAAAGGGATGAAGGATACAGTTGAAATATAAGCAAATATTTCTAGGTAAACAGTTAACTAGGAACTGTTTGCACTTTTATTAAGCGGCTACATTTCTTTGACTTCTGTATTTTGATGTCTATCAGAACGCAGCCAGTAAAGCAAACTTGGATTTAAAAAACGGATCAAAGCTTTACATATTAAATGACATTTTACTTTTTTTTTATCTTGGGCTGCTCATTGGTGCAGTGGGTGGCACTGCTGCCTTGCAGCAACAAGGTTTCAGGTTTAATTCTTGGCCCAGGATCTTTCTCAATGGAGGTTGCATGTTCTCCCTGAGCATGTGTGGGTTCTCTCCGGGTACTCCGACTTCCTCCCACAGTCAAAAAACATGACTGTTAAGTTAACTGGATTCTCTAAATTCTCCTTAGGTATGAGTGTGTGCGTGAATGGCTGTTTGTCTCTGTGTTGCCCTACGATGAACTGGTGACCTATCCAGGGTGGACCCCACCTCTCCCCCGTGGACCGCTGGAGATAGGCACCAGCACCCCTCGCAACCCCAGCAGGGATAAAGCGTGGCAGAAAAAAAAATTGTAATCTTGCTGTTTCACTAACTACTAAACGAGTGGTGTCAAGTGTTTTGAAGGGTAAAAGTAACATGGTTGTGTTTGACGACTTTATTCAAAAGATATACAATTGAATTTTTTTTTAATAATACAGTAGAATTGCCAATGCAATTTCCTGCTTTTTGATCCAAATCAGTTTGCCATGTTAGCCAAACTGAGCTAATGAAGCTAATACACGGATTACTAATAATAATGATTGAACCTCATTGATCTCACACTGGAGAAATTAGCCTCTGCATGTAACCCATCCCCTCTGCATTTAACAATGTGCGCCCTGGCAGCAGTGTGGGGTTAAGAGTCTTTCTCAGGGACCCAGAGTGGAGGGTGTTTGGATTGAACAACCTTGTAACCTTCTCAGAACACAAGCGCACTGCTCTAACCACTAGACCAACACTCCCCCCAATGAGATAATACATTGATTTAATCTATTCAACTGTGACCTGGTTTAGCCACCTATTGCAGAAGAAACAGCCATAAGGTACCAGAGATCTTTTATCTGTACCGTGAAATATATGCCCACTTTTAATGCAAATATTTTAATTCAACAAATTTCCAAGGCAGCACCTAAGCCATTTTAACAATGTAGAATTAGTCTTGAGGTTGTGATTTGAATTTTTTAACTGCCTTACCCAAAGTTCATTGAATTTAATCTCCTGCTAGTGATCAAGAGTTACGGTTCCTTCATTAAAACAAGTTATCCAGGTCCTAAAGAAGGGAGGTTAGATACAACGTTCTTTTACCACGAGGCAAATTAGTTTTATGCCTGATTGAACTTTATTGGTCTCCCATTGGAGAAATTTACCTCTGCATTTAACCCATCACCTTGGGGAGCAGTGGGCTGCCATCGTGGGGCGCCCGGGGAGCAATCAGGGGTTAAGGATCTTGCTCAGAGACCCAGAGTGGCAGTCTGTGGGAGTGGGGCTCGATCTCAGAACCTCAGGATACTCTATGCCCTAATCACAAAGCCGCCACTCCCCTGATATAACCACAAACATGCCTTCCAAGATTTTCTCCTTCTATTCCATCTCAAAGTATTTTTTTGTTTGTTTTTGTAAACGGGCCAAAGCAGAAGCTTTGATCTGAACTCCTAGCTCAGAATGGCTTCAGAATCCCGGTAGCCTACTTCGTGTTGTCAGATGGGTCCTATTTCAGGGAATTTTGTGTCTCCAGCTGGGTGTGGTTTGTGAATTTTCACCCTTTGTATTTTGTATTCACTCTGTTAGATTTCTAAATACATTTGATCATCTTCAACATTTGGTGTGAGAAAAGTCTTTTTTAAGGCACTTTGTTTTTATGACTATGCAGGTCACAACAAGGCAAAGGGAATAAATTAGACTAAAAATGTAATGTTTTAAATATATATATATATTTTATTTTTCTGGCTTTCACAATTAAAAACAGTTGAGAAAGTTCACATTCTGAGATGTAATTTAGCTTATTGCTTAAATACTTCATAAAAGGGGATATGCTAGTTTTAAATAAACAAGTTGCAGATAAACAAGCAGAAAGAGGACCATCTGTTTTTCACTACACTTAAAAAAGGGATGTTATAAAGTCTAGCTTCCTTTTTTTTCCCCCAAGGCTAGACATTGAAAAAAAAAAAAAAAACTATAAACAGTGGCCTAAATTAGCCTTTTATCATTAAATACATGCAATGGAAATTTCCCCCTCAAACGAAGGAACCTAATAGTGAATATGCGGCTGTATACATTTATATCATGTTTTCCTCTCTCATAAAAATGCACTTGGTTCCTAATTTTTGGCCATTTTTTCCTCTAACATTGTATAAAATACAGGGGAATAAAGAAATACTTAATTAAAAAAATGTTTTAGATCTCGTTATGTCTATACAAATAACTTAAAGTACTTTTTACACAAAGATAGTCTTGTTTTCATTACAAACAACCATAATTTCCTCTCCTGGGATATAAAATGTCTTTAGATGACTGTAACTGTCATTCCTTCTTCTGATGTCAGTGGAAGGAATATAAATGGACCAGAATCTTTTGGTTAAACTCTCCACAGCATGAATGAAACAATCCCCAGTTGGCTCCATGCTCAAATGTATCCTCCATAGCAATCAGCATAGTCCCAAAAGACGCAGGAGGTCAAATTCAGAGGGACTGTAACCTGATTAGTTACCATGATGTCCAAGGAGTTCATCAATCTGAGAACTTAGAGGAAGCACCAGACGAAAGGGAAATAATAAACCAGTGCGTTCTGTTGGTTTTTTAATAGCTGCACGTCCTGGTTAAAATGTTCTGATGAAAGCATTTCTTAAAGCGACATCTTTAGAAGCTTATCCTCATCCGTTTTTTCGCTGTATTTCCTTGGCATTAACATGACTCATGTGAGAGACTGGAGCCTGGGAGCGGTCCACTCTCCTCATCTCGGTCTTCTTGTGGGACTTCCGATGAGATGATGGTCTGCACAGTTAGTGTCCTCTCCCTGAAGGAGAAAACAGGAATAAAAGCAGGAAAATCAGGATGTGCGGTCAATTGTCTTTAACTTTCTGTGGAACATAAAGGCAGGAGTTACAATAATGGCTTTTTTTAGACGCTCTTATTGTATGGATCATTAGTGTTCTTAAGAATACAGCAGCTAATCTTTGGAGCAGCTGCAGACTGAGCCAAGGTGCCTCCCTCAGCATTGTCACCATTTGCTAATTAGTGTGGCCTAAAGGTTGCATGATGTGTGAAGCTTTATTTAGACAGATACTAGAGGTGTTAGTCCTCATTTAATGGGAATTTAACACTCCAGCTTTTGCTGGACCCAACTGCACCAAAATTAATATTATTTTTTTTTATTCTATTTCAAAAAGTTAAGACTTGATATATGTTTAGGCTGATGGATAAGATTTTTCAAAAGGTTAATAGTTGCGACCATGGTTTAAAAA